GGCATCTGAAATGAATAGACACTTTTCAGATGAAGAAGTACAAATGGCAAATAAATATATGAAAAAATGTTCAATATCACTGGCTATTTGAGAAATGCAAACTAAAACAACACTGAGATTCCATCTTACTCCCAAAAGAATGGCTGTCATCAAGCAATAAACCAATAACAAATGCTGGCAAAGGTGTGGGAAAAAGGAACCCTTCTTCACAGTTGGTGGGAGTGTGAATTGGTGTAACCAATATAGAAATCAGTATGAAGATTCCTCAAAAAAATAAAACTGGGGGTTCCATTTGATCCAGCTATCTCCCTTCTTGGTATCTTCCTGAAAGAGTTAAAAGCATCGTACCCCAGTGCTACATGCACACGCATGTTTATAGCAGCACAATTTGTAATAGCTAAATCTTGGAAACAGCCTAGATGGCCATCGGTGGATGAATGGATAAAGAAAATGTGGTTTTTATATACAATGGTATACTACTCTGCCATAAAGAAGGATAGACTTGAGATATTTTTAGGTAAATGGAAACACATTGAGACCATACTTTTAAGTGAAATAAATCAGACACATATTTTTAATTTGGCATTGTTTCTTTTGTGTGAGAAATCAAAAGTGTAAATAAGGACCAAAATGGATGACAGATATTGAGAAGTAGGAAGAAAATATTCAAGTGGGAAGGAGAACAAGGAAGGGGGAAGAAGAAGAGAAGGAAGGGAAAAGGAAAAAAGAGAATGGAAGGAAAAAACGGAAATAAAGCTTTTGGAAATAAGGAGGGGAGGGGAGGGGAATTGGGAAAAAAAAAAAGAAGACTCAAGGTATATTATGTACAGGTACAAATTCCCTATGATGAATGTGATCATTACATGCATCAAAAGTGTACAAATAAAATTAATTTTATAAAAATAAAAATAAATAAAAATCTGTATAAAGCATTGTCAATAAATGGTATTGGAAGAATGGAACATGCACAGGCAAAAAGCAAACCTTAACATAAACCTCATACCTTCAACAAAAATCAAATTAACATGAATCATAGATTTAAATATAGAACATAAAGCTGTGAGAATTATAGAAAAAAATATCTTCAGGATCCAGGGCTAACCAAAGAGTTCTCTACCTCTTTATTTAATCTCTTGGCTCTGGTGATAGATGTAGGAACCTACACAGTGATAAATATCTATGTGGTTTTTTTTTTTAGTGCTGAGGATTGAACCCAAGACCTTATATACTCTACCACAGAGCTACCCCCCACCCCAATATCTATAGATCTTAATAAGCATGCACACACACAAGAGTACAAGTAAAACTGGGAAAATCTGAGTAAAATCATATTATATCAGTCTTCATCATGGTTGTGATATTATACAGTAATTTTGCAAAATGTTATCATTGAGGGAACCTGTACAATGCACACAGCCATCTCTCTGAATTATTTCTTACAACTACATGTGAATGTGCATTTGTCTTAATAAAATTTCAATTAAAAACAGGTGTAAAACCAACAGAAGCCAGTTCAGGAAAGAAAGCCAAGGTTGTAGGTGAATCACCAGCATTCACAGAGGAACATAAATACAGGGCATGAATAGTTTTTATAAAAAACCAATCCATTCCCGAGGCCTAAAGAGCCAAGGGAGGTGCATTCCAATAGTGAGGAGCTGGCAGTAGCATCTTAAAAGTGAAGGAAACCAAAGAATATGCTCAGGAAAATAAAGGGTATTGAAAATAATGATCACTGGAATAATACCCAACTAGACAATCAATCTTATATTATACAGACACTTATTTATTCAATGATTAGGTGCCTATTATGTGGCAGGTACTTTTCCAGGAACTTGGAATTTATCAGTGACATAATACACTGGACAAATTTCCTTCCATATGGAGTTCACTTGCTTGCTTAGTGTTTATTCCTGGTCCAAAAGACTCTTAGTTCCCAGAACCTGAGAATCCATTTCCATACTGTACACCTGCAACCTCATGACCCCAAATAGAAATGCAGATCTCCCTAGGATGAAGCAAGGGATCTCTGCAGAAGGACAGACACAGCACTTCTGATTTAAGAGTGAAGATGATCTTACCCCAGGGTGGCTAGGGAAAAAAACTTAAGATGAGCAGATTGGCAGGCCTCGCCTCTGAGTTGAATCAGGAAAGTGAACTCAAAACCAAGGTGAAGAGTTGGCAGTGTGACCCTTGAAGAGGTTTCAAGTTAGCCTGGAGTAGCCAGTATTTTCCACTCCCAATCAGGAATTAACTTTGGAATCTTCCATAAGTGTAGAGAAGCTGGGGCACCCTGAGTAAGTACTACTTCAAGACAAACCAGAACAAGATGGCCTTGCACTGAGAGAGAGAGAGAGACAGAGAGAGAGAGAGAGAGAGAGAGAGAGAGGTATAGGTAAGAAGTAAATACAACTGGAAACATATTTTTAGTTAGGAAAAATTTTGCAAGATGCCCTGTTTATAAAACAGAAAATTAGAGATAACAGAATTTTTCTCAGAATGCTAAAATCAATATGCAATGAAGATAACATACTAAATGATACGCTGCTGATCACTATTTCTGCAGAAGGACAGCTCAAGGTAAGTGAATCAGGCAAGACTCAAGAGTGGGCAAGTTTATTAATATTAACCTTTAATTAACTCAGAATTTTTAACCATTTAAAAGTTTTAGGTGCCCACAGCCTCAAAGGTCTGAGAAAAAATATTTAAAATGTCTTTGGATTTATTTATGGAAAGATTCGCCAGTCTTTTTTCTTTCCTGAACAGTATTATGAAAAATTTTACTAAGTTCCCAATGACTCTCACATTTCTGTATCACATTTGCAATAATAATTAGCCATTTGCTATCACTTTGGCCATATTTTATAGTGACTTCACCTTGGTTTTGAGCTCATCTTCCTGAGATCTCCTAAAATTAAATAGTAACATTTTATATGGGTAAACTAATAAACTAATCTGCATATTTAAATATGACAGTCACTGTGGCAAAATTTTCCTGCTTTAGTCCTGAAAAATAAATGCCACAGTTTGTATAAAAATCCCATTTTTAACTTAAGTTTGCATAGAACTGCTCCCAAATGTTCAGCTCCCATTCAAATTTCTGCTGTCCCTTAAGTGAGACCATTTCAAAGTGAGACATGGTCCCATTCCCTGCAAAAAATGCAGCCTATTAATTGGCTATCTGTACAGGAATGTGTAGAGTTCCGAGATAATTGCCTTAGTCACATTACAAAGCACAGGTCAAGGTAAGGTGGTTATGCATTCATGAATGTGCGTGAGAGAATGTGTAAGCAGAAGTGTTCCATTAGAATGTCCAGAGACCACACACAATAGATGACCTTGGTCCCAGAGACAACCCATTTTATTTAGCTACATTGCTAGTGAATGAGTGAGCCTGCCGGTCACAGAGTTTTGATTTCAGAATTCAGTTCAGGCATAAACTGAAGATAACAGGGTTCCTCCCTTCCATTCCTTGAAGTTTTGAGCATTGAAAGAGTTAGAAATTGCCTTCCATGGTAGTGAGTCCAAAACTGACATTGTTAATAGCCCCTTTTACTACTTTTGGGCCATGTTTTTCTCATCCCCAACCTTTAATAAAAAAAGCTATTTGCCCAATGAAACACACTATCAGTGGATAAATAGCTGTAAAAAAGCACTTAACAAGGAAAAGAATTTTATGAATAGAAAAGAAGTGCTATATCTATCCACATAAAAAATTAACATTGACACTTTATTTTATATTAATATTTGGCCAAACCATCTCCATAAACTTATCTTAGGCATGAATCTACCTATGGTCACACATGTATGAGCTGCTAAGTGGAATATTTAAAGAACTAAATAGCACCAAACAGGCTTGCCTGCAAAAAGTAAAATATACAATTGTGACTTTTCTCTGGGTAATTTGACTAGCAAAACACATCTCAGTCAAAAGCTTCCTAGGATCTGTAGATTTTTAGATGGGCTATTTTATAACAAGTTCTTTAGAAATCAGTATAATAATTTTTTGTTATTTCAAAGACAGAGTTGAGTAAATTGTATTAGGGAATGTTTGGTTTTCTTTGGATTCTCTAGTCTTCTGTAAAACTAATACAAGATTCCTAGTATAAGTTTGCAAAAAAAGGGAACATAAATTATAATAAAAATAATTGATAAATAACTTAAAGATATGGATCTACAAAAGACAAAATCTTGTCCATAGTTTAGCATCAGTGCAAAGCCCACTTGGAACTCTTTAATATAAAAATAGAATTAAAAATTCAAGTGGTATGTCAAGTACCATATTCTTTATGCATTAATTGTTCCTATTAATGTAATTCCATCTTTTAAAATGACTCATATCAATATTAAATTTTCTTCCAATTGTTTTGACTACTTTTATATTTTGTGGTCTAAGAAAAGCAAAATAAAGCAAACAGCTAATCAAAAATATCCCACCATCATAGCATAATCAACTTTGTTTACTTTCTCCAGCATTACAAAGTGAATTCTAAAAGCCTTTCAGACACTGACATTTTTTCATTTATATTATGAATTTTGATTCAAGTCCAAACCTGCCATTTTCAAAGTGCACCCAAAAAATGATAAAAAAGAATGTGGTTTTTTTCCTTTAAAGGCTACACTCAAAACATTTGCTTGCGAAACTTTCTGAATAGTAAACATTGCCTAGTAAAACACATGCAGTGGTCAAAATATCAGATTTCTTTTTCCAGCTGTCCAGAATCCCATTAGTGCCTCTCACTTCTATCAGTATTTTGCTATAATTAGGATGGCTTAGGGTTTATCTGGGCCGTTTTGCAAAACCAGATTTCCTTCCTAGCAGCAGCCACTGTCATTTACAAGTCCCCTGATGGCACTGAAAGGCTTATTTTGATTTACATTATGGTGCAGGAATCCCAATGGTGAAGCAAGGAGAAGCGTGCACACACACACACACACACACACACTTGCACACACACACACATCACCTTTTCTCCTTTAAGTTTTAGAAACAGGGGACTTACCTGAGGATGATCACTCTGGTCTGGAGCCTGGCTTGTTTCAAGTAGGTTACTAACCCTCAGCCCTTCCCCTTGGAAGCCTGTGTCCCCTTTCTTAGGTAGTGCGCCTGCTGAAGGTTGTAAGGTTTTTGTGTCTTGCTCTGCAGGAGAGGAAGTAACACTTTCTCCTTCAAGGAAGTGAGAATTCCGGCCAGGAATGCCTGATGTGGCATGAGGAGTCTCTTCTTCATTGCTCCACATTAGTGGTGCCTGAATAGGTCCCTTGGGAGGGGGACTCCGGATGCTTTCAGCTGCACTGTCTTTCAGGGTCAGCTTCTTAGCTTTTCCCTTCGCTCTAGGTCGCCGCACACTGGTAGATTTCTGTGTACTCCTTTGGCTGCCTGAGTCCTTTTCCTCGGCTCTTTCCTCCACCATGGTCTCCAAACTCTGCTTCATCCCTGATCTTTCTGACCCCTCAGACAAGGGCTTCATCTCCAGCTCTGTTGCCGCTTTATCCATGGCTAGGAAATTGTCACTGGCGAATTCCTCTCCTGCTTGGTGGCTATCTCTGGTTTCTTCTTGAATTCCTGGACAATCATTCTCAGCAGCCTCAGAAGTAGTGGGGAATGGACAACTCTCTTGTCCGGTCACCGTAGCCGTTCCATCCTGGCCAGGTCTGAGAGTAAGAGTCCCTGAGAACAGGGACGATGCACTGTGCCTGGAGGCACGGCTGCTCCTGACCCCCACTTCTTGGGATTGTGAGTGATAACCACAGAAGCCAGTGGTGGCCTCCATAGGCCCTGTGTCACCCGACACCCAAGGCCCACAACCCATTTCACTGAGGAAATGCTCACACCCACCCAGGATACACTCACTGAATTCCATCTCCTCGTCATCGCTTTCTAATAAAAAAACACGCTCAGTCCCCTGCAAGCTCCTTTGCCAAACTGCATTAGAGTAATCCGTCATAACATCGGAACATTCCAGATACTCCAGGTCATCATCTGAAAACTCCTCAGTGTAAGTTAGGGTTATCTCTGGACAAAGTTCATAATCGCTGTCAGAGTCCTCACTGGGCTGCTTGTTGACCAAAGCTCTCTCACCTGGGTAAACCCATGCAGTTGCCTCTGACAGCGGAAGGGTGAAGCTAATATATTTCTGAGCTTTGGGATATTCATGACTAGAGGCTAAGACTTCGTCATTAGGACCATCATTATTTAGGCTATCATCCATTAACTGTGAGACTGGGGGAGGTACTGTTCTCTGGTGGTTTTGGGGAATAGTACTTGAATTAAGGAAAATTTCTTCTGTGTTATTTGGATTATAAACCTCTGCAGTTTGCCTTGTTTCTTCATCCGGAGGATTTCCAGAATGGGATGCAGTAAGGTCATTATTAGCCAATAACTGGGGTGAGCATAAGCAGTTGCATTTGGGTTGGGAGGAATCAGCTGACAGAGTCCCTGAGGACATGTTTTCTTCTCCTTTATAAGGGTGTTCCTTCTCATGGGTTTGACTTGTAGATTCCTTCTCATAGGCCTCTGTTCCATGTTTCCAACCTGTGTCTCTGACATCTCCCAGGGTAGGAGGGAGCTGTGGGTTGTCTGAGGGGGACTCAACCTCTATGGAAGCAGAGCAGCAGATCATTCCCAGGCAGCTTCTGGCAGAAATCTGATAAACAGCAGCATCGCTTCTGGTACAGCTAGGATGAAGAGAGCATATAGGTGAGGTTGGACATAACAACATTTTTCACATTGCAGCTCACAAGAAGATGGCATTCGGTTTTCTGCGTGTTCAAGGAGATCTGCTGTGCCTCTGGAAAGGGATTTATGGCTAGGGACAACTGGCTGCTGGGCTCTGGTGGCTGCTAGTGCTGAGACCCTGAGAAGCCCAGCATTTTCCTGCTTTCCACAATGTCACCTCAATTTGAAAATACTGAGATTTAGTTAGATGAACGGAAGATATATTTTATATTCCAGTTTCTCCTCTCCTTTGAAGTTAGTTTTATGTTGTAGGAATTTGAAAGAGCATTATTTTTTTCTGGAGTGAGATATTATACACAAATAATGAAAGTGCTCTCTCTCATGTGGTGGAACAATGTCAACAATACCTCTTTTTAAGACCATGCTAAGAAGGCCTCTTTCTAGCCAGGAAGTTGTAAAAATAATACCATAATAGGATTATGTGTTTGAAGGACAGTATCATTCCTTCCTTAATTTAAGGTGACTAAAAGATCTAAATCACAACCATGAGCCCCATTGGCTGGAAACTCATGTCCACATGTCATCCCGGCTAAGGATCAAGCCAGGTGTTCGGCTTTGGTCCAGCAAGGAAGGAATAAAATCCTGGATCACATTGAGCCTGTTCTCCCTGTTCCAGGAGCAATGCTTCCATGGCTCTTCCCTGTTTATTGACCGGAGTCACCTGGAGCTCGAGTCTGCTGGGCTTTACTGATTCATTCCCTACTATGGTAGCACCCTCTCCGAGGCTCTGCATTCCCAATAAAAGCTTGTTACATCTGTTGTGTAAATTGCATTCTCACCATGAAATTGCTAGTTTTACTATGTATTATCCATCTATGCATACTGAAACTGTCAATAAGCATTTTCAGGATGCAGGAGCTTTGGGTATAGCTTGGACTTAGGAGCAATGCTTAGATCTTTACTGACAGTTCTCGGTGTAAAATATGTACAATATCTAACTTGGAAGGGGTCAGTGTTGAACACAAACAAGCTCAAACACCACCCTCTTTGTCCTTTCTCTTCCTCACTGGAGAAAGCCCTTTGCCTTCTCAAGCGCACACTTACCAATCAGCCTTCAATCATTGGGTACCCACTCACATAGCCCTCATTTTCAGAAATCAGAGATGAACTCCGATGTCAATACTGTCTTGTTTCATTGGTAACCAGGCTTCCTAGAAGCCAGGCTTTGTCATGACTCATAGCTGATGTCTGGCTCTGCCTTGGCCAACAGAACAGGGAGAATGAAATTTTAGGCAACTTTCTGGAAAAAAAGTTTCTGCTCCTGTCTATTTCACAAACTGATTCAGGTTCAAATGATGAAATCAGCGTGAAAAGGCTTTATGCCAGATATACTCTCTGATAATATGGAAGTGTCAAGCCTAAATATCCTCTGGTTCTTCAGAAGTGTGCAGGGGAATTATCAGAGAACTCTACTCAAAATTCCTAAATCAGAATCCCTGGGTAAAGCAACTAAGGACGTGTTTTTAAAGACACTGGATCATTCTAATATGAATTGTCCTTGGTCCCTCTTGGACATTTGCTCATCTTCTTCCCCACTAATAAGGCTTTAACCTTCTTAGTTAAAGGTGAATCTTTTGGGCTGGCACTGTAGCTCAGTGGTAGAGTATTTGCCCAGCACATGCAGAAGACCCTGGGTTTAATCCCTGGCACTACAAGAGAGAGAGAAAGACTAAATCTTTTTAGCTGAGGAAATGTGACCTTTGCTGCATTTTCACATTACACACATCATTCTCTTCATAAACTTTTTCAATTAATTCTATTTTTTTATTTGTTCATTTTGTTTTTCCAATGCTTGGGATGGAATCCAGGGCCTAATACATGCTAAGCAAGCACTCTTTCACTGAGCCTTCAAAAAATTCTTGGAGATTTTGTCTCAGTTATGAGTTTCCATGAAACAAAAGAACACTATGGGTCACAGGAAAATCCTAATTCAGATTTCCTGGCCTATGCAGACCACTTACCTTTTGCTAGAGAAACCACCTATCCTGAAGCTACCATAACTTGTGGAGAAAAAAGAGAAAGGAAAGAAAGAAACTAAGGCTGAAAGGAACAAAGGGCCAAGTGAGAAAGGAGGACAATAGAGGATTCTCAACTTAAGGAAACAAACAAACAAACAAAAAGAATTTTAGGAACTATAGAGAAAATAATTGGGTTAAATATATTTAATTTAATGATTAAATAAACAGATGGGAGATTGTTATGATTTAGTGATGAATAATTTTATAGCACATATGTCTTGGTTGAATAAAGTTTACAATCCATCCTAACTACACTAAATACAGAGGAAAAGGGACTGGATTGAGCACAATTAACTTCTCAGTAGCTAATGAATGTTTTGAGTTATGCTTTGTGGTTGACACATCCTTGATAATTGTCTCTAAGCCTCCTACAGTAAAAAGGGGAAAATTAGATAAGGGAGCAGCTATGCTTTAGATCTAAAACATCCCTCAAAGTCTAATGTGTTCAGAGCTGATGAACTTTGGAAAAATGATTAAATTACAAGGGCACTAATTTCATCAATGGATCAATCTAGACTAGTTCACAGCTGAATGGGCTATGGTGGTTTAGATCGTGGGGTTTAGATGGAGGACATAGTTCACTAAGGGCAAGCCTTCAAAGGATATGTCCTTTGACTCTTCTTATCCTCTCTGCTTCCCAGTTGGCATGAGGTGAGTAGCTTTCCTCCACTATGTCCTTCTGCCCTGATACTTCTGCCTTGGGGCCAACCTTAATCATGGACTGAGACCTCTGAAACTGTGAGCCAAAATAAACCTTTTCTCTTTTAAGTTGTATATGTCAGATATTTTGTTTCAGCCATGAAAAAACTGATCAATACAGAACCTAACATCTGTTGAATGCCTTCTATGTTAAACAAAGTCTAACGATTCATTATGTACAAAACTATGGCATAAAGGAGTTGAGTAATATTCCCCCAAGTGGCAAAGCTGGGAAGTGGTAGAGCTCAGATAAGAGCAGAGCCTTTGACTCTGAAGCTTAGGTCTGTGTATGCTCTTACAAAACTGGCATTCAGAGAAGGAAATTGCAGGGTATAGGGAATCATTATATAAATGAAGTGCTTTTGTCCTGTCTTCATCTTGACCAGTAAGCTGGCAAACTTGTGTACAATATGTGCTGGTGCCCACCATTATGTTAAGAACTGAGAAGGAGCCAAGAAGATGTATGAGATATCATGTGCATCCCTGAACTTCTCAGAAAGACTTGCAGAGCAGTGCCATGCTAAGTTGTACAGTACACACTGGAAGGGTAAAGAGAGCTCACAGAAGGGACCTCAGTGATAGCAACAGATGTGAGTGGAGTGGAAATGTAGAATCTTTGCACGATGCTGGCAGAAAGACCTGTGTGTCCCACAGTGATTTGACAGGAATGCAAAACCATCCAGGAAGAAATCCGCTGAACAACTAATTGAGTTCCCTCCTTTCCTGTCTTTTCTTTTGGCCAGGGAAAGCAGTAGCGTTTTCCCATCCTGCTTGGGAAGTCTTGCTTGAATTTTCTAGGTTCTTTTTAAGTTAACCATTTCCTTCTTAAAGTGAATGAGGCCCATGTTACTGTAAGTGGATGGAGCTTCTTCTGAGTTTGAACAACCAGAATCAGTCTAAACTAGAGGTTCTAAAAGTATTGGGTTATCAGGACTCCTTTATACTCCTAAAAATAATTAAGGACTCCACAGAACTTTTATTTATATGGCTTATATCTATGAATATTTATAATACTAAAACAGAAAAAATTTTAATTTATTAATTCATTTAAAAAATTAAAAAAATTCATAACACACTAGCAATGGCCAGGGGAAATAACATGTTTATGGAAACTAATTATATTTTTCCAAAACAAAGCAAAAATTTGTAAGTGGCATTGGTTTACATTTCTTCATATATCTTTAATATGAGGCTTAATAAAAGACAGCTGGAGTTTTATATCTATTTCTACTTTCAATGTGATGTGATACACTATTTTGATTGAAGTATATGAAGAAAATCTGGCCTTACATAGATATGAGAGGAGATAGAGAAAAAAGCAAAAAGAAGACTCAACAAAACTGGAAGTTCCCACTTCAGAGAAGGGATCGAATGATAGTTTTGAAGTTTGGGTTTAAAGTTTTGGATCACTGGCAACAGATACTTTTAGTTTTCCTTTAAGTGCTAGCTTTACTTTTTTCACTTTTCAGAAAAATATTTGCCATCTGTCCATTGTTTTTTCAAGTAAAAATTGTACTCTGTGAAAAGAAGTGATAAGATCAGCTTATAAATTAATACAGGTGTTTTCTGTCATCTCCTCAAGGAAGCCCAGCAGGGTGCTTTGTGTGTGTGTCCCATTTGATTAGATGAGTATTAAAAGGGGCTCTTGTTGAGTTGCCTAGATTTAATAAATTAGCCATTTTCACTAATGCAGCAAGGACATTATTAAGTAATACTGTTTGCTGTTTGTAACTATAACTATATGGCAGTGAAGAATTCTGTGACAGCTAGTTTTTGAACCATTGCCTTAATTTATGCAAAGCTGCCAAGCAACTTACCTTCCATTGCTTTTTACCATCAGTGCTTACGTCAATACAGAAAAGGGCAAAGAATGTTTTATTTTTACAGTAATAGTTTTGGCCTTATGGATCCCTGAAAAGATTTTAGGGATCACCAGAAGTCCATAAAACACACTTGGAGAACCATTGACTTAAGCTACTCACAGAGCAACCGTCTCACAGGCTATTGGACCCTACAAGTAGAGCTTTAACCTGGAGAGTTGGTTATTTCGCTTGGTATGATCATGTATGTGCCCTGTTAGGCAAATGATTGTCTTTGTTTGCTATGACCATTTATGCAATCTCTTAGGCAGATGCTTAAATCTCTTGTTTTCCTGCTTTGCAAGGGAGAAGGAAGACCTATGTCTGGTCTCCACCCCTAGAGATTATGATTCAATGTTTACC